TGATTGGTAATAACAAGACAGAAAACAACTCAGCTGCCTCCCATGCTGGTGAAAGTAGATCAATAAATAACAATGTAGTTGTACAAAAGAATGCTCTACACCAGTGGGATCCATCTTTGCAACTGAATGCAACAATGTGAACAAGTGTGTAACTGCCTACAGCAACACATGCTTTAGGTGCCTGCTTGTGCTTAGTTCAAAATTAATTGACTGTGATAATAACCAAAAAAGTAGTTATTCCTTTGGATGAAGAGACTAGTGAGTTAAGAGGATTTCTGGTGCCCTGACCAGTGTGGCTCAGTTTGTTGGGTGATGTCCACAAAGTGAAATGTTGCCATATTGATTCCCAATGTGAGCACAGGCCTGGGTTGTAGGTTCAGTGTCCTGTGGGGTCATGTACAAGAGGCAACAAATTGCTGTTTCCTCCCCACAACATGTTTTCCTCTCTCTTTGTCTCCCTCCCATCCCCTCTTTATAAAAACAAATCAATAAAATATTTTTAAAAAGGATATCCTCATGTGGATGGCTTTGGTGATTCTGGTACTGTTCTATCTATTGTTCTGTTCCTGATTACTAGGGTATTTATTTTTAAATTTATCTTGCTGTATACTTATAATTTAAGTATTATCATTTACATTACATATCAAAAAGTTTCTCCAAAAAGCAAATCAATGTATGCACCATTAGATTATAAGAAACTTTAGAAATGTATTATTGTAAAATGCTTATTTCCAGTCTGCCTTGTCTACAATAAACTTCAGTATATTCTTGTCAAATAATGGAGCAACTTTTATGGAATATTTCTGTGAAAATGTGTCTCTGGTTTTAAATGATTACTCTGTTTTTAAAGCAAAAATATCGTATTCAAACTATGAACAGATTCTTTTTTTTATTGTTGTTCAAGTACAATTGTCTTCATTTTCAACCCAAAACTCCCTCCCGGACTACCCATCCATGCCTCCCACCCTTAATCTTACCCCCGTTAGCTTTGTCCATGTGTTCTTCATATATGTTCATTGACAACCCTCCCCCAATTTCCCCTATATTCCTCTCCCTTCCCCTCTGATTATGGACAGTTTGTTTTTTATTTCAATATCTCTGGTTACATTTTGCTTCTTTTTTACTATGTTCCACTTATAGGTGAGATCATATGGTATTTGTCTTTCACTGTCTGGCTTATTTCATTTAACATAATGCTCTTCACATCCATCCATGCTGTCATGAAGAGTAGGAGCTCCTTCTTTCTTTCTGCTGTGTAGTATTCCATTGTGTAAATATACCATAATTTTTTGATCCACTCATTTACTGATAGGCACTTATGATGCTTCTGACACTTCACTTATGCAAATTGTGCTGTTATGAACATTGAGGTGTATAGGTTAATTTGAATTCATGTTTCAGCATTCTTAGGGCATAATCCCAGCAGTGGAATTGTCAGGTCAAAAGACAGTTCCATTTTTAGTTTTCTGAGAAAATTCCATAGTGTTTTCCACAGTGGCCGCACCAGTTTGCATTCCCACCAACAGTGCACTAGGGTTCCCTTTTCTCTACAGCCTCACCAGCACTTGTTTATTGATTTGTTTACAATGACCATTTTGACTCGTGTGGAGTGGTATCTCATTGTGGTTTTAATTTTCATCTCTCTAATGGCTAGCATCCTTTCATATGTCTCTGGGTCCTTTGTATGTCTTCTTTGGAGAATTATCTGTTCAGGTCCTTTGCCCATTTTTTAATTGGGTTCTTTTTCTTCCTTGAGTGGAGTCTTGTGAATTCTTTATATATTTTGGAAATCAAACCTTTGTCCAAGGTATCATTTCCAAATGTATCTTCTGACACACTTGTTTCTTTCATGTTGCTGATGTTTTCTTTAGCTGTGCAGAAGCTTTTTATTTTTATTAAGTTCAATTTGTTTATTCTTTCTTTTATGTCCCTTGCTCTAGGGGACATGTAGGTGAACACATTGCTGCTTGGAATATTTGAGATTTTCCTGCCTATGTTCTCCTCTAAGACTTTCATGGTGTTGCCACCTCTAATATTGTTTCCAGAAACAAGGAGATTAATGAAGCTCACTTCCCCTGGTGCCACTACTGAGCATAAACTCCCAGAAATGGAATTGCTTGGTCATAAAGCATTTTCATTTTTAATATTTTTAGTTAAGTCCATACTGCTTTCTATGTGGCTGCACCAATCTGCAAGCTCACCAACAGTGCACAAGACACCCCTCTTCCCCATACCAAAAACTACAAATGGTTGTAAGAAAATAGTACAAACAACTATATGCTAACAAATTGGACAATCAGGAAGAAATAGATAAATTCCTAGAAACATACAACCTTTCAAAACAGAATTGAGAAGAATCACAGAATCTGAATAGACAGACTACAACTAGGGAAATTGAACCAATAATCAAAACACTCCCAACAAACAGAAGTCCTGGACCAGATGGCTTCACAGTTGAATTTTACCAAACATTTAAAGAGCAGCTATTTTGAGCAACTTTTATAAATTTAATGAAAATGCCTAAAAGACTTTAGATTGTTTATTACCTCTAGGTTTCCATTTCTGTATCAAATAATAAGTTTATTAGAAACAACTCAGGATGTATGTGTCATAACATATATGATAATATATGGTGATTATTACACAACATAAAACTTTGGTAAAAAGGAAAAAAATTATTTACAGTCAAATTTATATGCTCTAAAGGCTGTTACTTAGAATTCAATTTAAAGAAAAACCTAGCTATGATAAATTATGTATGTGTAATTGTACTCATATCAAAATTTTATGGTCTGAAGATTCTCTATAAACCTAGAGGCCATTAGCAAAAGAAGAATGAGAGAAAAATGTAGAAAAGGTTGCATTGACATTATTCATAATGCCTATTTGCATATAAGCTATATTTATTCTGATATAATTTTCATTTAACTATTAAACATCCCATAATAGACAACAAAACTTAGTTTTCCCTAAGCAATATGATTATAGTCAGTTTTTCTGTATTTACAAAAATCTTTATTTTGTGAAAATGTTTAATGTGATAGTGTTTATATATGTGTGTCTTTGCATGTAACTCAAGTGTCTGTTTTTGTAAATTATGAGATGGACACAATATACCCATATAATATTTGGTGAGCTAGACATAAAGAGCCCTCAATACACTCATTTTACTATTGCTAAGTACAATACTAGGCAATAAGGTAGGGAGGGACAAAAGCAACTTTTAAAAAAGTTCCTTGTTTCAATCACCCAGCCTAGGGTGGGTAGGGAATAGCAGATGATAGAACTTCTTGTTATACTTGTTACTTATTCCTGAGAGACCAGCACTCAGGTCCAGACACGGCCATGTTGATATAAGCCAGATGACTTAGGGGACAGTGCTGAACCCTCTGGCAGACAGAAAGCAGGCAACAAAGAAGTCCGTGATCTGGAACAGGTAGTTTTTTATTGTGGTTTTCTCATTTCTATTTTTGATTTCTTTAGTTTTTCTATCTTTATTTGACAGAAAACATGTTTTAAAACTAATGGAGGGTAAGAAATATTATACACACTTTTACTTACTTTTATCAATCTCATTATTTTAAAGACCCTCATAAATGGCAAGGAAAAATAAAATGTGAATATTATTTATGAAGGTGGATGGACATCTTTTGTTTTTGATCTCTTACCTGTACCTTTACATATTTTATAAATATTTTCTCTTTGAAATGAAGTTTTTTAAAATATCTTTACAAGCGCAGATAATTAGATGAGTTCAGACCAAGATTTTTGGAGACCTGCATATGGATCACTACATCATTGTGCAGATGTAACTCGTTGTTCTACATTCTGCTCCATTTTCTCAGATTCCCACAGAATAAAAGAGCTCACATATTATGTTGCATATGATATGCCTGGTCTGTGTAAAATATAACAGCAGAACATAGAATTTAATTGATCTTCCAAGGACCAACTCTTTTTAACCAAAGGATTGCAGGTTTCAGAGATTCTCAAGAGGAAGGGGATCAGGAACACAGTCAAGCAATTTTACAATTTCTAGAGAATTGGGATGGGGCCCAGTTCAGCTGTAAATCTCTCTGAGGTTATGGGACTCTGGAAACATGAGGACATTACCTTTACCCTGCACATTTGATCTTTTGGTGAATAGATTAAGTGGACTCTAGCAGATTACAGTAGAAGGTCTCACACAGTAATCCATACTTGCCTCTGGGTCACCTGTGCTACCAGGGTGCCTACTAATGGGTTCCAACACACCTTCCCCGAGTAGTTCTGTCTGAGGGCACATGGTTATCCCTACATGTTCCAGTGTGTGCACTCTAACCTATCATCCACGGGGACCCCTCCAACTTGTCTATCAAATGCCCCTTGCTCTGGAAGTGCTGGATCACAGACTATCTTTATCCCTTGTAGACTGAGGCTGGATAGGACAAGAGGATAATGGGGAAGTGGGGACACAATAAAAAAAGAGACAAGCCAGTGATCTGTCTGCTTTACAGTACTGGACAATGAGGGAGAAAAAAAAGAAATATTTTTGTTACCTGCATCTCTCACTTCACTATGCTTTTTTTATTACAGAATATATCAACACTTATACTACATCAAGAACAGAAACAACCTTGTAATAAAATGTGGATTTTCTGGACCAAATAATTCTAGGAACAACTTGGTTAATTCTGAGGACATCTATTTCTTTATCTATAAGATGGGAAAACACTACATAGGTTGGTATGGAAATAAAATGATTTAATTTGGATCAAAGTATACTACATATTATATAAAGTTCAATACAAATGTAAGCTGTTTATTATCATTTTATGAATTTACGTTAAATTGGAAACTTTGCAGAGTCAGTATACTTAAAGAGGTTGTGCACTGTTGAGCTCTTTTTCTAATTACTGACAAATAGAAAGAACCAGCAGTGTAACTGCTAAGACACTCAGATGATTTGCCCTTCACTTGCATTTCCTTCCTCCACAACCAGGGATTTCCAGACCTGAGTGATGGCCATTGAGAACTGCACCGTGTTTACAGACTTCATACTCCTAGGACTCTCTGGCAGGCGGGATGTGCAGCAGGGGCTCTTTGTGCTCTTCCTGCTGGTTTATGGCATCACTGTGATTGCCAACCTAGGGATGATCCTGCTGATCAGCATGGACCCCCGACTCCACACGCCCATGTATTATTTCCTGAGCAATTTGTCTTTCTGTGATGTCTGCTACTCCTCCACTATCTCCCCTAAGATGCTGGCTGATTTCTTATGTGAGCAAAAGAGAATCCCATATAATTTATGTGTGGTGCAGATGTTCTTTTTTGGTGCCTTTGCAGCCGTGGAATGTGTCATGCTGTCTGTGATGGCGTATGACCGTTATGTAGCCATTTGTAATCCACTTCTGTATACAGTTACCATGTCCAGGAGAGTGTGCATCCAGCTGGTGGCCACTGCCTACACCGCAGGTTTTATAGATATGGCAATCTTCACGTCTTGCACTTTCCCGTTATCATTCTGCAATTCCAATATCATCAATCACTTTTTCTGTGACATCCCACCCTTACTTGCCCTTTCTGCCTCAGACACAACTACCAGTGAAATAGCATTGACCGTTTCCTGTAGCTGTGTTGTGGGGTCCAGTGTCATCACTGTCCTCCTCTCCTACAGCTACATCATAACTACCATCCTTCGCATGACGTCGGCTGAGGGCAGACACAAAGCCTTCTCTACCTGCGCCTCCCACTTAACCGCTGTGGCTATATTTTATGGGACACTCCTCTTCATGTATTTCCGACCCAACTCGAGTTATTCCATGGACACAGACAAAATGGCCTCTGTTTTCTACACAGTTGTCATCCCCATGTTAAACCCACTGATCTACAGTTTGAGGAATAAGGATGTGAAAGGTGCCCTGAAAAAAATCGTTGTCACTAAATTAAGTTCTGAGTGAAAACATGTTCACCAAAAAAATATTTATTTAGAATCATTGAGAATTAAAATTTAAGGACTTTGACACAGTTTTCTATAGTCTCACAAATAAAATTCTAGATATTTCTTTATTCACATTTGTGCCTAAATTGAATGCAGAGAATAGTCATCATGAATCTTGATCTCTTCAAACTAAAGACAGGTAACAAGTTTACTCTTAGTTTTATGAAGAGGGTTTTTATGCACTACTCTGCTCTATTCATGGGTATATATCCCACAGAGGTATGGGCATAGTACCATCCCCCTCCATGTTTAAAGCTCTATTTGTTAAACAACAGTTTTAATGAAATTCTCTTTCCCTAACTCAAAGGTCCTTAAATGTAAGGTCCTTGTTTTCCTTGATCATTATTTCTAGTTTGTTATTTACAATGCTCATCTTCAGGATGTCATTCAAAAACATTTATGGAATGAATGAAGGGACATCTTCTATAAGACTGGTATAAAAATACCCTTTGTCAGTGAAAAAGGAAAAAAATCTTCCTTTGTGTTATTTTATTCTAGCACATTCATTTTACACAGATTCCACCTGTATTTCTTCTTTGCCCAAGACTGAGTAAGTGTCAGGGACACAGATCATGTCATGTAGACAACTTCTCAGACCCTCTATTTCTGATCATTCTACACCAGGGGTCAGCAGCAACAGCAGCTCTAGATTTATATGGCACATCATACTCTTCACATCAGATTGTGAATTTTCCCTCTTGCCCTCACTCTTGGGATCAGATACATGCTCTTGACAACTGAACAGAAACTGCATGAATGGCATTGGGGCTATAGGACTTTGACTTCTTCTACTAGCCACTAGAAAAGAGGACTTTACCTTTACATTATCATAGCATTATACTAATTATTTTTTTAATAAAATGTCCAGTTGATACAGATTAGGTGGAAATAGAGTTACTATACCATGTGATCTCACCTATAAGTGGAAATAAATCAGCAAAACAAAACAAACAGTGAGCAAAATAGAGCCAGAGACATGGAAATAAAGAACAAACTGACAGTGACCTAAGGGGCAGGGGGAGAATATGGAGGGAAAGAAGGAGGAGGGGCAAGTCAAGGAACATGTATAAAGGACCTATGGACAAAGACAATGGGATGGAGGATTAAATGTGGAAGGTGGGTGGTTGGTAGGGCAGGGGAGAATAATCGGGGGGAAATGGGGACAACTGTAATTGAACAACAATAAAAAAAATTTAACAAAAATCTTACATTCCATGGGAAAAAAGCAAAGAATAAAATAGTATTTACGGTAGTATTCCATTTGCAATGACTTAAATCAGTTCTCTGTGAACCCATAAAATAAACTGAATTCTAGTTCTATACACAATTTTAATAGTGGTCATTGCTTAGTGGCTGGATGTTAAGTAATGCTAAAATCTATTTAATAACTTAAAGCAATTGCACATGATGTTTGCACTATTATTGATTAGCTACCAATCCAGTCCTGAAAAACCTGATACAATTTCAGGTGCTCCGAGTATTCATTCATTTTTTAGGTTGCAATTATGTAAGAAACCTGGAGACTCTCTCTTCTTCTTGGAAGATGGAGTAAGAGATTGTACTAAGTTTTTCATTAGATCATCTTCCCCAAATCTATCTATCTATCTATCTATCTGTCATCTATCTATCTATCTATCTATTTATCTATTTATCTATCTATCTATCTCTCTATCTACCTATCTATCCCTCCCTCCCTTTAATGTATAAAGTGTGCTTAATGTATGTACTTCAAACATCACAAGAATGAAACAATACATTATAAACATGAGATTTTCAGATAGTTATTTATTGTGCATTATTTATTGAACACAGTTTAAGACAAATAAAAATATTTTACTATATCTTAAGTGTTTTCTCTTATAATCTCAAATAACTTACTTGTTATTCATAGACTATGTCACATATCAGAACCTCTCCATCACTGTTCAAATATGTGCCCAACTTACTGCACTTTATTAAAAACATTAAATATATTGGTATCTATAAAATTAAACCTATTCATGTTGTATACATTAGTTTCACTGACCATGATTTACACATATGTAATAAAGACATACTTTAAAAATTTTTATTAACATATAATGGGCATATAACATTATATCAGTTTTAAGTGCACAAAATAAGAGTATAATCTGCTCCAATAACTGTGTGTAATGAGTCAGTGTTATAGGTCAATTCCTTCATCACAGCTCCTTATTTTTGCTCAGGCATTGGTATCCCCAAACATAAGAGCAACTAGGGATGGCAATTGGAATTGATGCATACTAATACAAGCAATTGGCTCCACTGTGGTGGAAATCTGGTTAGCAAAATTCATTAAACCAAAACTAATAATTCTCACTATAAGTATGTGGCTCAAGCTTAAGTGATGGCAAGCTTAATCTGGCTTGAAATCCTCTGTAGAAACCTGTTATGAACTGGAGAAGCAATAACGGCAATACTGAGCTTGAATCTCTACTCAGCCCACTGTAACTAGGACTTTCAATAAATCGCTTTTCCTTTTTGAACATAAATCCACTCTGTCAAAAGAGGGGCTGAAAATAAACAATCTTCACTGAATATTCCTGCTACCACATTCTGTATTTATGTTGGTATGATCCTATCAATGCATAGACCTATTTTTATCTTTTGGGAGATTTTTAAAAATAGCAGATGAATGCAAGTATATTCACAACAAAGTACTACATCACATCTCTTGGCGAATCCAACCTGAAGTGGAAGTGACAATGATGACAGAAATGATTGCATAGTTGTGGGAGCCCCAATACCATCAAACTGGATGCATTTAACTAATAGTGACAGCTGAAGTAAGGATTGGCATACTTCTTGGAAAAATATATGATAATATTTACTAAATCTAAATGTAATATGCATATATGCACAAAGGCATTTTCAACCCCTGGTTTTATATCCAAGATAAATGACTACATCTCCACCAAAAGACACATACAGAATGTTCACAGTTTTTGCTGGCACTGAGACTGCAGCATTCAGGACAATTTTAATTCAAATGGTGTGTGACCACTAGATACATATACTTGTCCCCATAGGATTTGTCCTTGGATGTTATCTAGACAAAACAAATGATGAAAAACTAAGTAACTGCAGTCCCCAAAAAGAGTCTGTTATTGAAAAGTGAATTGAGACCCAATGAAGAAGTCACCTGTAAGTAAATGCAGTGCCTGAATTACAGAATGGGCACAGTTTTAATTTATGAGAAAAATAAAAACACTCCATTTGAACAACAAAAAAAGAATGTTCACAATAGCATTATTGATTATAGAAAATGGAAAATAACTGTCTATCGACTTAAAGTAGATAAATAGTGATCTATTTGTACAAAATAAAACTTTCCATAATGAGAGTGAATGCACTGCAACTCCATGCAACAGTATGGCTGGAGTGCACAAGAGTGGTGTTGAATAAAACAGCATGATCTGTAAGCATCTACTTATGTATGGTTCCAAAAATATGAAAATAATACTTGAAGAAAAAAGCCATGATGGTTCCAAAAATATGAAGATAATGCTACTCTATGATAAAAGCCAAGGTAACTACTCCTTTGGGGTAAGAGATTAATTAATTTGGGAGATAACATGTAGAGGCTTTAGTAATTCTAGTAATTTTCTGATTTTGGGTCTGGGTCCTGGTTCCAGGATTTTTTTTTTAATTTACCTACATATCTCCCTATTTCAATGTTCTCTATGTGTCAATTACATATTAAAATTTTTTTTCAAGAACAAGTTATTCACCATCAGATTACAAAACTTCAGAGTTTCATTATTTTAAATTTTTCTCTCTTCACCTATGCACCAAATAATGACATTTTGGTCAATGATGGACCACATATGTAATGGTGAAGATGAAAAATTCCTGTGACCTAGTGACATGTAGCCATTGCAATGTCATATCCCAACACATTCCACATGTGTACGTGGTGGTCCTGGTGTAAACAAACCTACTGGGTTGCCAGTGTATAAAAGTATAGCATATATAGTTATGTATAGTACATATTTGATAATGATACTAAATTACTATGCTACGGGTTTATGTATTTGCTATACTATTTATTGTGATTTAGAGTATACTCTTTCCACCTATAAAAACAAGTGTGCTATAAAACAGTATGCCCTGTTACACTGGCAGCAGCCTTACACATCTTGTGTTAACCACATCTCTTGATTGCATCATTGTCTCTTGTGCATGGTATAATCCCATGTACTTTTATGAATTTACTGTAGCCAAAGTATACAATGTTTGTAAAGTACAGTCATGCCCCAGGCCTTCACATTCACTCATCACTCAAGCACTGACTCACCTAAAGTGACTTCTAGTCCTGCAAGCTCCATTTATAGCAACTGTTCTAACAGTGTACAATATTTTATTTTTTATACTGATTTTTACTATACCCTTTCTATGTTTAGATATGTTTATGTATGTGAATACTTAGCCTCATGTTATAATTACCTACAGCATCAGCACAGCAACAAGCTGTACAGCTTTACAGCCTGAGAGCAACAGCCTGTACCATACAGCCAAGGTGTGCAGCAGACTGTACCATCCAGGTGTGCGTAAGTGCTCACACACCTGTGATGCTCACACAATGATGGGATCACCTGAAAATTCATTTCTCAGAATATATCCTCATCATTAAGTAACATGTGACTATAGTAATTTCTTAGATACAATAAAGTTCAGCATATTTTTTTGTGAGATGGTGAAACATTCATAGAAAATTCAGGAAAATTATCTATTATGTTACTACAAATTGCTGTTTTTGTTATAAAGCAAGGATGTCTTATTTAACTCTTGAGCACTTCTAATATTGTTTCCAGGAGCAGGGAAACTTAGTAAATTTTGTTTTCTTTAGTAACAATATCATGCACTGAACTTATTCATAGTGACAGGGCCATACAATTATTTTCTGAGTGGGAGTTTGCAAGGAGATAGACAGTTACC